TTGAACAAACCTCACACACTTTTGACACCTAATATCTACATCGTCAGATCATTTATCATTGTAGTTTTACATGTAATACACAAACACCTAATAGTACATTTCTATCATGTTAACATTTGTTTTCTCCTACTGATGCATCTGGAATTGGTATGTCAAACTGAATGCCTGTCCAGAATAAGAATGATCATTTTTCCCTCTGGTCTTTATCAAACAGTGCCTTGTAGCACTATTTACTCAATCTTTTGTCTAACGAATGTCAAAAGGATAAATAAAGGATTTAATATAAAGTGTCTCACCATTCAGTGTTGCACTTCCTGGGCAGAAGAAATAAAAGTTGAACTAAGGTGAATATATCATTTCCTGTTATTTTGTTAAAGTGTGACCCAGACTTTTTATATCTAAGTGATGTTAGTATGTGATGTGACTTCTTCTCTTGATCTAGTTACAATTTAATTTTAGTGAGTAATGAAACACCAATTATGGTCAACAGTTATATCAGCTTCCATATACTATCAGCAATAATCTGTATTTCATGTGTCCGAGAACAATCAAACTAGGCACGTAAAAAAGATCAAACATTGCGTGTCAAGATGTCATTGATGATGTCCAAACATTTTTTACCAATTTGGAGTATCTCGATAAGATAATGCTAATATATATATATCTTATTTCTGAAACAAGTAAAGCCACTTACATAAATGGACCTATGTTCATTACTAAAGCATATGATACAGTTTATAAAAAGTGCCATTTCATAATTATTAGATATCTTCTTAGTCTAGAAGACATTAAATATAACAATTTGGATGATCCATATGGAAAAACAACACGAATTATCACTGCTCCTTTAATAAATGGCAATTTTGCATGCTTGCCAATATTAAGTATTCGAGATAAAATATTATATAGTTGTTCAGCGACGACGATTTCCGAAATGTTTGTTATATTAAAACTTTGATACCTAGAAACTTCATAAATTTCAACCTTCGCCGTTCTGATTGGTGGAGCATAAATTTAACCTGTTTTAGATAGTCGTTGGCATTTACTTGTTGCAAAGGCGTACATCATATTGAGTCCTTTATACGAGACTAAATTTTTAATACAATAAAGGATTTGATTTAAAACACTGGTTAAAAAATATGTAAATGGGGATTTTGTTTTTGCCATTAAAAATTACATTTATAGCGATTTAATGAATGCTTTTCTTTGATTTTTTTGTTTTGTGTGTGTTTTATTTTCGTATTACCGGACGAAAAATCCATTCTGCGCATGCGGGGAATGCTCTCTCCACAAAATGTTTCAATGTTGTTTACATCGGTTTCCCTGCTAAGGAGCTACCGGAAAAAATGGTTTTCAGTTTGTTAGATTGATAAATAATTGTGCCAGTGTTATAACTTGTATGTAAAGCCATTTGTTTAAAAGACATTTTCGTTACTCGTGCCGAATGGAAGCCATACACTTTTGTAGAGGTGATCCGCTTTGAACTTGGAGCTACCGTTTGGATCCATTGGGAGGGTCTTTATGCAGGTATGCATTTTTTTTTTAGAATCCTTTTCTACAAATGTGATAAGTTAATATTGATATATTTCAAATGCATGGCTTGTATTGGGCGCATCACACGGTGTTCCGATGATCCAATCGACTTGTCTCAACTGTTATCAAGTACTGGAGCACTGGCAATTCTGGCTACATAGGTCATGATAGGAAGAGTTGGCATAGTCAAATCTGAATCAAAGTATATGGGGCAAATGCAAACATTTAGGTGAGGTCTGGTAACATTTCTTTCATGCAGATCGAAGAATGGATGACAAATATATAAGTCAGTGTTTTTGGCATATTTGGTCAATTTCATATATTTTTTGGAATTTCATCTTTACTTATTTTTTTCAGTATCCACATACACTTGCTAACTGTTAACAAACTCTATGGTGTCATTTACTCAGGTTGCATTTGTCTTAAACAGTTGAAATGGTAGGACGGATTGAAACTGCAAGAAAAACAGTTGGTAAAAATTGGGACCCAGACTGGACTGTTAAATATTTGGCACATACCTGTTAAATCTAACTTGCTGAATATCATTAGTTTTCATAATTTCAACATAAAGTAGATTAATAGCACTCACATATTTCCATAGGCATTGTGCTACTAAGTATGAGTGAAATGGATAGTATCTTGATTTTAGTTAATTGTTTTAAGCTTGACAGGAAATTCCAAAACTTTCAATTTTGAGCTATACATATATCAGATCACACATCCGATACATGTGCATTTGTGTATAATGGAATAATTCCAGACCACCTGAACCATTTCATCAAGGTTACAGGAAAGTGGAAAATGAGATGTTTATTCATATTCGTGACTACCATATTTTCCAGATTATAAGCCACAACTTTTTCCTCGTGAATTTGGCAAGTGACTTATAAACTAGTACAGCTTATTGGCAGGATGAGAAAAAATGTAGCTCACCAGTATGAAACTGTCCAGCCTTTTTAATGAGTACCTGCCCAACACAGGTTTGTGATTGAAACAGATTGTGTAGAACCGTTACTTGTAAATTGTAAAGAGAGCAAACAGCAAAACAACTGACAATGCACTTTTCAATCAGTATTTTCAAAAAAGGAACCTGGTCAACTAAACAATTAAGCAAAGCCTATTGAAGAAAATGAGTGGAAATACTTGGTTTACAACATTTAATTGCTTTGACACATATAAATGTAATTTAGCAGGAAACTGATTTACCTTTCCATGGACATATGATTTATAACTATAACTTGTAAGCTACAGTATCTATAGCATTGCCTGAAGATGGACCCTTGCTAGAATTCAACATTTTTATATAGGGCAGACTTTTGACTATAGTCCACGACCAAGACTAAAAACAAAAAAAAAAACAAATAGATAGTCAGAACCCTTCAGACTACAAAGCTTGTGATCCCTTCTTTCAAACCAAGGGACCACTTTCTTTTTTCATATTGCATTTTTCAAGTCACAGTTAAATCCTTGCTGAACTCTTTCCTGCAAGCCAAAGACGTATTACTTACTAGATACATAATTACTGAAGGAAGTACAATCCATTCCCTACTTAGGCATTCAGATATCATCAGACCTCAAGTGGTGATGCCATATTCATAACATAAAAACAAATGTAAGAAAGCAAACTCCACTCTTGGCTTCTGAAGACCATGAATGGTAAAACGGCATATGTTTGTAATCACTAGGGCATTCCACTCGTTAATATTGTACAATAATATGGGACCCATTTCTCCAATTCAAGAATGTCCAATCCAGAGTTGTCAGATCAATTAGTGGGGATCATTGGTCAGGAATACTTGGATGCACCACACATATGCTTAGTGAATGGTGGAAGGAGTTGCAACTTGTTTTTCTATACATGGTGGTTGAGGGGTTAATATTGGTGCCAGCCTTACCTCGAAACCAATTCCTCAAGGTAATTGGAAACTGCATAAAATTTAGAGCCAAACTCTACAGTGCCTAAATAATACATGCTCTCTTCCTGTCATAACATATATATGCAAGTAGTGGATTACTAAAACTACAATAATAGATACAGAAAATCCACACACAGAATGCTTAAGCTATTGACCAGAGCAAACACTAGCAGTGCATCAGGACCAGATAACATGCCGAATAGGATATTAAAGGAGTATTGGAATCAGCTAGTTCCAAGTCTAACTGTTATGTTCCAATAATCAGGAGACTTGGGCCAACTACGAAAAAACTGACTATGTAAGCATATATACCAGTACAAGCATATATGAAGAATGGGACAAATGGTTAGACAAAAAGTATTGTATATAAAGTTATTTTTCCTAATTTATTTATTTTTTGTTATATTTATAACAAATTCTAAATGGAAACATCAAAATATTAAAATATTTTGGTAGACACAGATTATCATTTTTATGCATAATACTTTTATATGACACAGCTTTAAAATATATGTCGCACAAATGACAAAAGAATTTAATTAAAATCTATTGACTATGATATCAGTATCTACCTAAACTGATTGATTCCTGCAATTGACACTAAAAGGTATATTGTTACTTGAACCACCTTGGCTACCAAATCCAATTTTGCCACATTTTTTATTTATTCATATCTGATATATTTCTCTAGTACCTGTCATAACAGAACAGTGTGTGGCAAGATGACAAGCCCCATGTTTTCCAGCTTATAAGTTCACCCTTTGGATCAGAAATTCCCCATTGTCACTGAAACAGCATGGAAAATTATGTCAATGTACCAATAAACGCACACCAAAACATTTGGTCTACCTGTCCTAGGACTTTATAAGAAAAAGGGAAAGGCAATAGTCAGCATGATTCTAACCCAGAAATAGTCTTCTAGACAAATACTTCAGAATGAGCAAAGAAATACTAACATGTTAACAGGGTAAAAATTCCAACACAATTTCGACAAAACAAGGGCAGAATATGAACAAAGGAAAGATTTATATGGAGACTCCTGAAAAAGTACAAAAAGAATAAGCCAGGTGTTCAAGAAGGGCAAGCACCTTCAGCTTCTCGACAACACTAAACTAATTAGAGCATCAGTTAAAAACAATTATCTAAAACTTTTAATAAATTGAAAGTGACAAAGTTTGCAATGAACATGGCCAACAAACAGTAAAAACTATATATAGTTACAATGTTACAAGATAAGGCAGAGATGGTAAGCAGTCAATTCACTCATGTCTCTGTCTACAAAAAGGCAGAATTTGTGAACACATCATTCAATAAAGTTAACATCAAAGAGTGTTAGGCATTTCTAGTACCTGTTGTATAGATGTTATACTTTTCTCCATATAGATGATCGAGGATCATTACAACTGTACTGGTTTATACCCTGATGCTTATTCCTTGTCTTTTCAGTGTCTATCATGTCTGGACTGCAGAGTTGGTGATAAGCTGGTGATATTAGGAACCAGCTGTATTACTTGTATCCTGTACTAAGGTGACTGACTTCGTTCCACCATCATGGCAGAAGTCAATGTTAGAGTAGCAGTAAGGGTAAGTGATCATTTCAAGTTCAATCAGAGGCACAGAAAATTTAAGTCTGCCTTTCAGTTTTCAAACTTTTCAATTAATTTAATGAATTAACCATGGTTGTATTAAAATGTTATTGACTTTCTACAGCCAGTGTGAAAAGTATGCTTAGTGGCTATTTTTAGGGAAATTGTAAAATCCACATAAAGGAAAAGTTAACTCTCATAAAGAAACTGCATGATCTATTTTAGTTCTCATGTTAAGAAAATATGATTTATTTTAGGTGAGACCTTTGCTACCAAAGGAAAAGATTGCAGGGGAGGAGATATGTGTAAGAGTCCTACCTAATACAAAACAAGTGGTTGTTGGCAAGGATAGAGCCTTCACATTTGATTATGTTTTGTCTTCCAAGACAGCACAGGTTTGTGTTAACATTTTGTCACCAATTGACCAAGTCTGTTTGAAGAACATACAACTACAAACTGCATACATCATGATAAGATTTTTGATTGAAACTCAGAGCAGAAAATGAAAAATGGCCACTCCCGATTACAAAATATGAAGGAATGTATAGTTTCGGAAATGCTATCTGAAATAATTGTGAAGTTGCATTTTCGCCTGTATGGAATAGTGAGTCAAAAGTCTAGACCCTTCCTGAACCAAGAGTATAGGATATCTCATAACAAATTGCTTAAATACCTATGACATTGTGTGCTTGCCTGTATAGAATTTTGAGGCAAGTGTATAGGGTATCTGATAACAAGATTGATATTGAAATAATAATTGTAATCTTGAGTGAATGTTGGTGTAAATGTCAAACTACTTTCTCTTCTCATGTTTTGTTTTTTATTTGTACAGGAGGATGTGTACAAGTCTTGTGTAGAGTCCTTGGTGAAGTGTACTTTTGATGGCTACAATGCTACAGTATTTGCTTATGGTCAGACGGTAAGTGTTTCTACAGATATTGGATTATACATAGCAATACACAATATCATACATTGCCTATTTGTATATTTTTAAACTTTCACTTGGGTCAGTCAGTCGTCATAAAGTTGGTAGAATTAAAGTCATATAAAGGCTATTAACATGTTAGATTTCAGAGCCATCAATATATTCCTAAATGTGATGTACTGATAGCAAGAATTCTGGTGTGTACTTGTCTATGAATGTGCTTACTGTGATTACTGATAGCAAGAATTCTGGTGTGTACTTGTCTATGAATGTGCTTGTTTTTTTCTGACTTCAGGGCTCTGGTAAGACCTTCACAATTGGAGGAGGAAATATCTCATGTGAAGAAGAATATGGAATTATACCCAGAGCTCTTAAGGAAATATTTGACACGATAGAGGTAAATGATGTAATACTGGAACATAATTTAAACATCATCATCTTATTTTACAACAATAAAGACAAGTTATTTCAGTTAATACTAATCATTCTTATTGGCCAGGATGTAAGCGCTTGAGAAGTCTATCTGTTGGAGGAAGCTGGAGTACTTAGGGAAAACCTATGTGATCATACAGTTGACCCACTACCTGTTCATGCTTTTTTTGGAAATAGGACCTTTGTCAAAATTCCATTGTGATGTAGAAATGATTCAAATCAGTAATCAAGCATTGTTTGTTTCAGTCAAGGAGAGAAGAGCAAGTTTTTGTGGTGAAAGTTTCTTACATTGAAATTTACAAGGAGGAGCTGCAAGACCTGCTGGACACAGAAACATCTTACAAAGACCTCCATGTCCGTGAAGATGACAAAGGCAACACAGGTAAACATTCAGGTTGTCCAGACAGATTGAGTAATAATAGAGTTGTTTGCTGTCGGGACATTTTGAGAACATCATAGAGTTGTTTATTGTCCAGACAGTTTGAGTGAAAATAGAGTTGTTAGTTGTCCAGACAGTTTATGTAAATAATAGAGTTGTTAGTTGTCCACACAGTTTGAGTACCGAATGTCAGACACTTAGTCTACATGTTGGCTTAATAATTGTTATTATCCAAGGAAACAAATGGTATGTTTCAGACCAGATTCTGATCAATTTCAACAGAAGCGTAGATGTCAAAAGAATCAGAGGAATACTTATGTTCATGAACTGAAACATCAGTTATAGAAAATCAACTCTACTCCGTAAAAATGTAAATTTGCTCTGTAAAATTGTAGAAAGAAGAGCTGAAGTATGATAACCATTGAACCAAATCAATAAATTAATTAATTTCAGTAATTATTGGAGCTCGCGAAGTGGACTGCGAATCACTGGACGATGTGATGACTTTACTTGAAGCAGGGTCTGCCGTCAGACAGACTGGATCAACACAGATGAATGAACAGTCAAGCCGCTCACATTCCATATTTACTGTGGTCATAGGTACATATATATTATTGAAAAATACTTTTTGTATACACCAGTCTATTCTTTTAGGTATGTCTTAAATCAATGAATGCATCATTCTAGTGAATTTGTATTGTTATAAATCTGAAGAAGCTCTACATACAAAAAAAATGTAAAGAATTCATCATTACATCACTCCAGATCTGAAGTTGTAACACTGATATGAATTTGATTTTAATTACTGCCATTCAGTTAAGAAGTAATTACCTCACTGTTGGTCAGTTGTAATTACCTCACTGTTGGTCAGTTGTAATTACCTCACTGTTGGTCAGTTGTAATTACCTCACTGTTGGTCAGTTGTAATTACCTCACTGTTGGTCAGTTGTAATTACCTCACTGTTGGTCAGTTGTAATTACCTCACTTTTGATTATGTCATTGTTTTTCAGTTGTAAACATGTTTTTCCATTATGTCACTGTTGATAAGTTTTAATGGCCTCGCTTCAGTCAGATCAGTCATGATTACAGATTCAGTAATAAGTACCCATCCAGATCAGTTGTAATTACCTCACTGTTGGTCAGTTGTAATTACCTCACTGTTGGTCAGTTGTAATTACCTCACTGTTGGTCAGTTGTAATTACCTCACTGTTGGTCAGTTGTAATTACCTCACTGTTGGTCAGTTGTAATTACCTCACTGTTGGTCAGTTGTAATTACCTCACTGTTGATTATGTCATTGTTTTTCAGTTGTAAACATAAATGTTTTTCCATTATATCACTGTTGATAAGTTTTAATGGCCTCGCTTCAGTTACAGATCAGTCATGATTACAGATTCAGTAATAAGTACCCATCCAGATCAGTTGTAATCATATCATTGGAGATCGGCTGTAATTCCCTGCTAACATAAGTCCAATGCATTATATTTTGTGCAGTGATTACAGTAATCTAGAGAAATCATAATTTTAACGGAACAATTTTGTTTTATATCATCAGTCTCTTTTAAAGGAATCAATTTTTGTTTCAAGTTTTCAACAACATGAAAATCTCCATATCAAAACAGTATTCTCTTTCTATTCAAAAATAAAGTTCTTTTATTACTTATAAGTCTTCAGATTTAATACCAAAAATATCCTATTATGTCATCATTATCTTAAATTACGTCATATTATATATTCATAATACACATAGAACTAAAAATGGGAGTCCTCCTCAGCAAAGTATATACAAAAGTATTACCTCATTGTCCCCTCTAGTTGTGTTCTTGACTTATTTGCATAAAACAAAACTTCCCAAAGTTTCCAAAATCTGAAGTATTACTTGTCCTTAGGAGCAGAATAAGGTAAAACTGGGATTCTGTTTTGATGAAATCCATCTTCAGAGGCACTTAGCTTGTTATGTGTGCACAACATGCATCATACTATACCTGTCATATGTATTCAAAAGTATCGAAGCATGTCTAACTGATGTGATTGTGAGTGCCACTATCTCAGACATGTTAATAAGCATGTTAAAACATTAACTTCACTAATCACTGTTTTTGTTTTGTCAATAGAGCAAAAGTGGACAGAAGCTGATGTTATGGCTGGAAAGAGAAAACCTAGTGAGAGTTCTGAGGTTGTAGATGAAGGTAAGAGTCTTGGTCTGCGTAAACTGTAATGTTTAAATTTTGTTTGGGTTTTTTATGACTTGTTATATTGATTTTTAGTTCACTTTCCCAAAACTTGGACAAATTCACTCAGACTGTGGTACAGTGTCCATTTTACATAGGCATAAATCAACCTCTCAAACAAGAAGATTAGAGCCTTATTTTGGTCTGTAGCTTGCAAAATGAAGGGCTATCAAATTTGTTCAAATTCATTATCTTGACCTCATATAGAAAAACATTGGAGTCAAATATGTCAAAATTAAGTGTAGAGTCATGATTGTGGAAATAAAGATATCTTAATTTGGTAGTAACTTGCTCTGATGTTCATGATATTGAGATGAGCAATACAGGCCCATTGAGCCTCCTCTTAAACATGTCACACTTTTTGGAGATAAAATATATTTATTTGAAATCTGTTGATACGAGGGATTGAACATTTTGCATGACTTTTTGAAAATATCATTGTTCTTTAACATGTGCTGAACAACAGCAATAATGATATTTTATCATTTTGGTGTGAATGCTGGTATGGCTATTATCACTGTATACAAACATTATATACACACAATATTAACTCGGAATGTTACGGCTGTCTGTATTTCAGCTGTCAAACTACCACAAGGTTTGTGATTTAGATGCTTCTATTTTGATTTGTGTTGCACATGTGTATGATGTGTATGTTTTAATTTTATTACTTTGTTTCTTTTAGATAATTTCTTGCTTGAGAAATTAACAGTGTGTTTGCACATTTTTGATAGATAGTTAAAATGTTGTCTCCTTGTCAGGTTATTTATGTGTTCTGGCTCTGATACTTGTGAAGCTTAAATTTAAATTTATTAACTTTCTGATTTTTAAAAAGAGATTCAACTTTCAATTTCCAGATATCGTTGTTTATTTATGAACTTCCATTTCCTGATATTTGAGATGATTCTATTTTTATTTCCCTGAATGGCTGTAGAAATTCAATAGGTAACTTTCTGTAAATTTCTGTAGAGATTGTGTATGAATCTTGATTGGTTCCTGTACTATTGTAGTCATGTGACCATTGTTCCCTCAACCTTTCCTTTGCACTTCTCCCATGTTATTCACAGAGTTGACTACCGGCTACTACGTAGGAGATCATCTCAAAATTTCCTTGCTGTTGGCAGGGCAATTAAGTTGGCATACAAAAAATAGTGAATTTTTTATGATATTGATAAAACTTTTAGACTTTCATTTGAGAAAAAAAGTGATAGGTGTTGAAGAAAGTTTAGGTTACATGAGAAGGATGGATCATCCAGGAGCAAGTGAAACATGTGTAAATTAATTTGGAATCTGAATGATAATACCAATTATGTTGTATTGTTTACCATGAAAAGGATACAAGTGGTCACAATCCTAATTTGTTTCTCACTGGTAAAACCATTAAAAGATACAAGTGGTCACAATCCTAATATGATCCTTCGCTGGTAAAACCATTAAAGGATACAGGTGGTGACAATCCTAATTTGTTTTCTCACTGATAAAACCATTAAAGGATACAAGTGGTCACAATCCTAATTTGTTTCTCACTGGTAAAACCATTAAAGGATACAAGTGGTCAAAATCCTAATTTGATCCTTCACTGGTAAAACCATAAAAGGATACAAGTGGTCACAATCCTAAATTGATTTAGTGCACTAGTTTGACTAATAATCCAATTTTTTCTTTTTCTTTGCTCTGAACTAACAAAAATAAGTTAATACTTTGAATGCAGGATCATCACATCATTTTAATCTCTTTGTGATTCTTTTTCTTCTTGAAATTTCTTAGAAAGGCTAGTCAGTTGTTCAAATTAAAGAAACTTTTGATTTGATAGAAGATATTGAAGTATAGATAAATATACTATGTAGTTGAAAATACTTCCTGATTACATAATTTGGCGATATTCATGGTAATTGAAGATAGCACAAACCTGAAAACCCAGTAAGTATTTTACAGAGAATCAAATCACAGACAATGCTTTTTTAATGCCTGTTTACATGGATTCCAATCTAAAGATATTTAATCGCTGTGAATTAGAAAAAACTGGGACAAACATGAAATGTTAGCCTCACAAAATTAACTTCTTATAAATATATAGGGTAACATTTGGCTTCTAAAATTTTGATATATGTACTTTTTGATGGTTTTGACATTAAAGTTTACTGGCCATGTTGCATGTTCTGATTCCAAACAAAAACAGAATAAAGTAAAAAGGAATTCCATGTTCTAGGAACATATCCTGACAATAGGGATTCCTATGGTATGTTAAGGTGCCTTTTGTCTAAGAGATTGAAATGGTTGAACCAACTTAACCTATAAGATAAATAATGGGTACAGATCAGGATGGACTGCTGAATGTTTAACACCTGCAGTCTGACGAGGGCAGTTGAAAGATCTGAAACTAACTGGGTGACTGTCTCTTAATTTCAAAATCACTGCATGGCCCAAGGTTGATGTAAAAATTCCTAAACTGTGCATTATGAGCTTTACATATGAAACATTTCAACATTTGGTACAGGTATCATTGAATACCGCTTGGATCATTTCAACTTGTTTATGTAAAAGCAAGCAGGAACAGGTTATAGAATATGAAAGAGGTGTCCCAAGAAAGGCCATGCTTTATTTTGGTTTCTCATGATTAAACATTCTTGTTTTTTTTCAGTTGGATTATTTTTACCTATGATAACAATTTCTTCAAAAATCTATCCCTCATTCTTTTCAGATATTACTCACTGCATGTCAGGAAAGTTCCACTTTGTGGATCTGGCAGGATCTGAACGTGCACACAGGACTGGCAACGTTGGGGACAGGTTCAAAGGTAGAAATTGAAAATCAGCACAGTTTTCATATATTGCATAAAAAAAGAGATACTGTAATCATGAGACATTTAACAAATTTAAGGTCAGTTTTAGTAACAGCAATTTTTAGGCAAGTGTTCAAATAAGGTAATAGTCATGTAGGTATAATAGTTTGGTCAGTAGGATGAGTATAGAGACCTCTTCAAAACAAGAGGATGCCACTGTGTATTTATTTTTTCTCTAACATAATCCAACGAGATAACACAAGCTGTATGCTAAGTTTATAATCTTTGAAATTGTTTAAATGAATTAGATATTGTCCACATTGTATTGGTTGTTCTATATACATGTAATTACATTGTATTTATTGGCCTGTAAAACTAATACTCAGAGTCTGTACACATCAACTCGGGTCTGCTGGCCCTGGGCAATGTGATAAGTGCTTTGGGAGATCCGAAGAAGAAATCAAGCCACATTCCTTACCGAGAATCAAAGATCACCAGGCTCCTCAAGGTAATCCTTGATATAGTCACTCAGAAGTGTTCTTCTTTAACAATTTTATATTACAAGTGAATAATGAAGTTTAAGTAAACTGAGAATATGAACAAGTCAAATTTTTTGTTTCTCACTACAACAGAAACCTTAAGGCTGAAGTTTATGCTTTATTTAAATATTACAAATGCAATCAACTTTAATCCTAATGCTAAAGACTGTCTTGTGTTGTCAATGGTGTAATATTTTATGTACTGAATATGGGAAAACCTATACCCAGAAGTATTTTTATTCTGAAAATGTATAACAGCATTTATTTCAGTTTAGCTTATACTTTAACTGAAACCTACAAAAAGGTGAAATGGATCCGACTTAAATTATGATGAAGGTTTCCCAATGTACTGTACTCAACTATGATGTAAAGAGTCTGTGTGACACAAACGTCATTTGTCTGATGAAGATGACAATGTAATCATCTGACTGAGTGTATTTTAAGAGTTGATACTTGTTAAATGGTACACTCCATTCTTATCGGGACAGTTTTAGATAAGTCAGTTAGGTACAGAACTGTTTTTAGATAGGTAAGTTTGTCATAGGTTCTGGCAAGGACTGATAAGACAGGTTCTGACTGGGACTGGTAAGACAGGTTCTGACACAAACATTGAGAAGAAGAGGCATTTTGGACTGGTTGATTATTTAAGTGTATTAATGTTAACATTTCATTTTCTTGTGATGTTGCTGTTTCAGGACTCCTTAGGGGGAAATGCACAAACCCTGATGGTGTGCTGTATCAGTCCTGCCACAGCAAACTTTGATGAATCCCTGAATGCCCTTAAGTATGCCAATAGGGTGAGTAAAGCAGATGTTACAACAGACCAAAGTTATTTTGTCTCAAAAGTAATGTTCAATAAATAATGTTTTGATTCAGGTGAAGACAGTTTAAATGAATTGTTTTGAAGGCAAGATCTAACTCTGCTAATTTTATTGAATCAATTTAAGTACTTTATTCAGTGGTTTTAGACATGATCACACCAGGAAAATTTTGCTCTCTACTAATCATGTAGTCTAGTTTTATGTTGACAGGTACAATCTGATTTATTGAAGATTACAAGTCTAGGTTTATGTTGACAGGCACGGAACATCAAGAACAAACCCATTGTAAACAGAGATGTTCAGGCTCTGAGGTTTGAGGAGATGCAGTGTGAAATCAAGGTACCTTCATATACTCCATCACATAGTAACTTCTACATAATTTGCATTCTCATATTACACTCATAAACTTTTCACATAATACTGTAATATTATTATACAGTATATACTATCTTCCATTATGTTACGACAAAACAGTCACATAGCAATACTGCCACACAGCACTGTAACACAGCACTGTCACACAGCACTGCCACACAGCACTGCCCCATTACACTGTCACACAGCACTGCCTCATTACACTGCCACACAGCACTGCCCCATTACACTGTCACACAGCACTGCCTCATTACACTGCCACACAGCACTGCCCCATTACACTGTCACACAGCACTGCCTCATTACACTGTCACATTACACTGCCACACAACACTGCCCCATTACACTGTCACACAGCACTGCCTCATTACACTGCCACACAGCACTGCCCCATTACACTGTCACACAGCACTGCCCCATTACACTGTCACACAGCACTGCCTCATTACACTGTCACATTACACTATCACACAGCACTGCCCCATTACACTGCCACACAGCACTGCCCCATTACACTGCCACACAGCACTGCCCCATTACACCGTCACACAGCACTGCCTCATTACACTGCCACACAGCACTGCCTCATTACACTATCACACAGCACTGCCCCATTACACTGCCCCATTACACTGCCACACAGCACTGCCCCATTACACCGTCACACAGCACTGCCTCATTACACTGCCACACAGCACTGCCTCATTACACTATCACACAGCACTGCCCCATTACACTGCCACACATCACTGCCCCATTACACTGCCCCATTACACTGCCCCATTACACTGCCACACAGCACTGCTCCATTACTCTGTCACATTACACTATCACACAGCACTTACTCATTACACCGTCACACAGCACTGCCTCATTACACTGTCATACAGCACTGCCTCATGACACTGTCACACAGCACTGCCTCATTACACTATCACACAGCACTGCCCCATTACACTGTCACACAGCACTGCCTCATTACACTGCCACACAGCACTGCCCCATTACACTGTCACACAGCACTGCCTCATTACACTGTCACATTACACTGCCACACAACACTGCCCCATTACACTGTCCCACAGCACTGCCTCATTACTCTGTCACAAAGCACTGCCCCATTACACTGTCACACAGCACTGCCTCATTACACTGTCACACAGCACTGTCTCACTACACTGTCATATTACACTGTCACACAACACTGCCTCTTTACACTGTCATATTACACTGTCACACAGCACTGCCCCATGACACTGTCACACAGCACTGCCTAATTACACTGTCATATTACACTGTCACACAACACTGCCTCATTACACCGTCACACAGCACTGCCTCATTACACTGTCACATTACACTGTTACACAGCACTGTCTCATTACACTGTCACATTACACTGTTACACAGCACTGCCTCATTACACTGTCTCATTACACTGTCATATTACACTGTCACACAGCACTGTCTCATTACACTGTCACATTACACTGTTACACAGCACTGCCTCATTACACTTTCACATTACACTGTCACACAGCACTGCCTCATTACACTGTCACATTACACTGTCACACAGCACTGCCTCATTACACTGTCACATTACATTGTCACACAGCATTATCACATAACATTGTCATAATACAATGTCACACAGCATTATCACATAACATGGTCTAATTACACTGTCACAATACACTCACACAACATTACAATGTCACGCAGCATTATCACATAACATGGTCTAATTACACTGTCACAATACACTCACAAATAACATTGTCATATTACAATGTCACACAGCACTGTCACATAACATGCTCTCATAACACTGTCATGTTACACTCACATACAAATTATTAATTAAAATTATTATTTTTGTTTTATACACAACTTTGCAGTTTTACTTGGTTCCATGGCTGTGTCATGAGCTACAAGTTCCTTCCAGGTTCACAAGTTCACACTAAGGTCAATCAGTGTAGACACCCAGGCATATTTCACTATTAATATACAGTAACTTTCCAGGGTAAGAAATTCTTTGAGCCAATCAGTATGTATGTTCAATTGAACTTTGGAGGAGGTCATCTGTATTTTTCCCAAGAACCTACAGCTCTAAAGGACTAACTAAAAATAGTGTAATTAGTATACATACAGGACCAGATGAATGCATTTGCATTGCATGACACCAGATGTTTGTCTGTCCTAGATTTTCAGCATCAGTTTGGGCGAATTTTTTGGGGTGGTCCTATCAATCTTTATCTACTCAAGACTTCATTCATTTGCAAGCTAACCCACCTCCATTCCCGAATCTTTCCCGTCTCTAGTTTTGTTTTGCATAGTTCTTGAATATGTTAGATGTATATAGTCAGGCAGTGGAAAGGAATCATGTACTTTCATTGTAAAAGTTCTCTAGTATGTTAGCAGTTCTAGAGTGTTTTACCTGAAAAGAGGTTGTTTCTGTAGTTAGGCATGGCACAGGGCATTTTACTCCCTATCAGATCATTACATCTTGATTTCATGTCAATAGATTATAACAGATCTTTATATTTCACTAGGACCTACAGCCCCTACATGGGCTCTGAGACCCCTAATTCCCACATAGGTCACAGCGCTGTCACATTACACAAAATATTGTCACATCATACTGTCCTGTTTCAGTATTACATAATATTGACTCAAATCATCACCACTCAGTTTCAGTATTCATTATCATAAACTTTATCAGTTGAATTATACAAGATGCACATTGTACCTAGTAGTTTCATCCTGCCACAACTCTATCCTTTTTTATATATAAGAGTCACTTTCATGTGAATTAATTTTTTTGACCTTCACACACTTTTAAAAAGTGATCAGTTTCTTGTCTTTTTTTTTTTTTTTTACTTCATTATGACTATGCTATGCTCTTGTTGACAATGATTAGTTTGTTCCTACTTTTTGCTTTTTTGTTGTTAGGCCTTACGTGAGGAACTTGTACGCCAGCGAACATCTATACTGAGTAATGGCGGAGCAGGAGACATGGTTCATGCAGAGAAGGCGATACAGGATGCTGCCAATATGAAACACTTAGAGGATCAAGTCAGCAGGTATTTATAGTATACAGTTATAATTTTACTTAAATATCCAAATAAATGTCAGCAGGTGTTTATAGCATACAGTTGTTAATCTACTCATATATTCAAGTAAACACAGCAGATGTCTATAGACTGAAGATGTTATTTAAACTACTAACAAATTGAAATAAAAGTTTTTGTTTTTTTTTATAATTTGTTTAACCTCTGTTAATATTTAGATATCAGTGTAACTGTGTTATGTTCTTGCATGATTTTTAAACAATAGTACATAGTGTATTGATTATTGTGTTAGCCAAGGATCTTAAAGCATTACATTAAACGTCAGCAGAATTCCCTTGTTACACTATACTCAATACTGCTCACTTAAGCTGTTTGTTGACATGCCTGTAGTCAGGGTTTCGGACTTTAGATTACAGACGGAGTGCTCCCATTACAAGATGGTAGCTGATGAGGCATACAAACAGCTGATGGAGATTCAGGACCGTGACATTTTATCTCAGAGTCAAGATTTCCGTCTTAAGGATTGGTTAGATCTCATGGAGGAGGTAGGTAGAATAAAGTTGATTGGGAGAAATCAGCTTATCTGCTTACTGTGTACTTGGAAAGTTTTGTCTCTGTTTAATTTCTTCCTTTTCGTCCATGAGTCAAGATGGCAAATATATGTTTCACTCATTTAATTTTATGTAAGCCACAGATTGTGAAATGAACAGGAGGCAAATTTGTATATAATGGTACCAGGGGAAAAATAAACTGGGGCAAAAATATCCCAGTTTACAGTAATCAATATACTCACAAATTGTCATTGTTTTAAACTAACTGTGTTCATGTCTGCTGATGTTCCCCATCATCAAATGTAGAATGATAGGCCCACTTTTTGATTGTTTGTTGTATGAAGATGATGAGGTACTGAAAGTCAAAACAGAGAAAAAAAAAATCATATTTCATAGTTCTAATGAAGATCCTTACGTTGATATTGTTTAATGTTATCTTGTTCACCAGATAAAAAATAAAGTGCCATCTACCCTGACAAGAGAGGAAGTAGAGAATGAAACCATCAAAGACTTACAGACACAGCTCTCTAAGGTGAGACAGTACTATATTTTATCAGACACAGCTGTCTAAAGTGAGACCTTACTATATTTTATCAGACACAGCTCTCTAAGGTGAAATAGTACTATATTTTATCAGACACAGCTGTTTAAGGTGAGGTAGGACTATAGTTGATCAAACACAGCTCTCTAAGGTGGGACCGTACTATAGTTTATCAGACACAGCTGTCTAAGGTGAGACAGTACTATATTTTATCAGACTCAGCTCTCTATGGTGAGACCGTACTATATTTTATCAGACACAGCTGTCTAAGGTAAGGTAGGACTATAGTTTATCAAACACAGCTCTCTATGGTGAGACCTTACTATATTTTATCAGACACAGCTCTCTAAGGTGAGACAGTACTATAGTTTATCAAACACAGCTCTCTATGGTGAGACCGTACTATATTTTATCAGACACAGCTGTATAAGGTGAAACAGTACTATAGTTTATCAGACACAGCTGTCTGAGGTGAGACAGTACTATATTTTATCAGACATATCTGTTTTAAAGTGAGACCTTACTATATTTTATCGGACTCAGCTGTCTAAGGTGAGGTAGGACTATAGTTTATCAAACACAGCTCTCTATGGTGAGACCTTACTATATTTTATCAGACACAGCTGTATAAGGTGAGACCGTGCTATAGTTTATCAGACACAGCTGTTTAAGATGAGACAGTACTATATTTTATCAGACACAGCTCTCTAAGGTGAGACAGTACTATAGTTTATCAGACACAGCTCTCTAAGGTGAGACAGTACTATAGTTTATCAGACACAGCTCTCTAAGGTGAGACAGTACTATAGTTTATCAGACACAGCTGTCTGAGGTGAAACAGTACTATATTTTATCAGACACAGCTCTCTAAGGTGAGACAGTACTATAGTTTATCAGACACAGCTCTCTAAGGTGAGACAGTACTATAGTTTATCAGACACAGCTGTCTGAGGTGAAACAGTACTATATTTTATCAGACACAGCTGTCTAAGGTGAGACAGTACTATAGTTTATCAGACACAGCTGTCTGAGGTGAAACAGTACTATATTTTATCAGACACAGCTCTCTAAGGTGAGACAGTACTATAGTTTATCAGACACAGCTCTCTAAGGTGAGACAGTACTATAGTTTATCAGACACAGCTGTCTGAGGTGAGACAATACTCTATTTTATCAGACACAGCTCTCTAAGGTGAGACAGTACTATAGTTTATCAGACACAGCTCTCTAAGGTGAGACAGTACTATAGTTTATCAGACACAGCTGTCTGAGGTGAGACAATACTCTATTTTATCAGACACAGCTCTCTAAGGTGAGACAGTACTATAGTTTATCAGACACAGCTCTCTAAGGTGAGACAGTACTATAGTTTATCAGACACAGCTGTCTGAGGTGAAACAGTACTATATTTTATCAGACACAGCTGTATAAGGTGAGACAGTACTATAATTTATCAGACTCAGCTGTCTGAGGTGAGACAGTACTATCTTTTATCAGACATAGCTGTTTTAAAGTGAGACCTTACTATATTTTATCAGACTCAGCTGTCTAAGGTGAGACAGTACTATAGTTTATCAGACACAGCTGTCTAAGGTGAGACCGTACTATATTTTATCAGACACAGCTGTATAAGGTGAGACAGTACTATAGTTTATCAGACACAGCTGTCTGAGGTGAAACAGTACTATATTTTATCAAACACAGCTCTCTAAGATGAGATAGTACTATAGTTTATCAGACACAGCTGTCTAAGGTGAGGTAGGACTATAGTTTATCAAACACAGCTCTCTATGGTGAGACCTTACTATATTTTATCAGACACAGCTTTATAAGGTGAGACAATACTATAGTTTATCAGACACAGCTGTCTGAGGTGAAACAGTACTATCTTTTATCAGACATAGCTGTTTTAAAGTGAGACCTTACTATATTTTATCAGACTCAGCTGTCTAAGGTGAGACAGTACTATAGTTTATCAGACACAGCTGTCTAAGGTGAGACAGTACTATAGTTTATCAGACTCAGCTGTCTAAGGTGAGACAGTACTATATTTTATCAGACTCAGCTCTCTATGGTGAGACAGTACTATAGTTTATCAAACACAGCTGTCTAAGATGAGACAGTACTATAGGTTATCAGACACACCTCACTAAGGTGAGACAGAATATTCTCAAAATACAGACTATACTTTATCATACACAGATGAGATAGGCCCAGAATACAGACTATACTTTATCATACACAGCTGAGATAGGCCCAGAATACAGACTATACTTTATCATACACAGCTGGGATAGGCCCAGAATACAGACTATACTTTATCATACACAGCTGGGATAGGCCCAGAATACAGACTATACTTTATCATACACAGCTGAGATAGGCCCAGAATACAGACTATACTTTATCATACACAGCTGGGATAGGCCCAGAATACAGACTATACTTTATCATACACAGCTGGGATAGGCCCAAAATATGGACTATCATTAAAAGCCATGGGTTTTTATTGCGAATGAATAATTAATTTCAGTGTAAGGAAGACCTAAAGAGTGATGAGGAAATCTTTGCTGAGAAAAGTAGAGACCACACTCAGATGATGGACCGACTGGAGGAGTTTGTACGTATGCCACAATATTTGGGTCTATATTGTTTACCCTTTAGTTCTACTATCTAAATATTTGCAATTTTTTATTTTAAAATTAAATATAGAATTCTTTTTTTTATGTTATAATTCAAGTCCAGTATATACTTTCAAATAAATTAAACTTTAGTCTACATTTAATATGATAATTACAGTGAAGTACAATTGTATGCTGTTTTACAGGAGAACATCCTAGAGCAGCGGGATCAGGAATTGTTAGATGCAGATGAACGGATCAAACAGCAACAACAACAGTTACTGGAACAGCAAATGAGGATTGAGGAACTTCAACGAGCTCTCAAGGTAAACGTCAGGCAGACAAAATAAAAAAACTCCAAGGATAAAATAGATGGAAAACTACTAACAGCTTTACTCTGAAAAAAAAAACTGAAAAATTAACATGTTATTATCCAGATAAACCTGTTTTAAAAAAAAAATCCATGAGAAGATTATATTATCCTTTATCTGTTCTTAAAATTTTATTTACCAAGTGTAGTATTTAATTTTTTAATTTAACTATAAATCTGAAATCTAAAATCATGCTTTCAGTTTTAATCATTTTTAATTTGCAAAAACCAGCTTGAAAAAAACCGCTTGATGATGATGATATTTACTAACTTCTACTTCTTCCAAGTTTGACTTACATTTTTGCTTTTTTTTTGTTTACAGACAGAGGTAAACCACTTTTATGTATCATAGTATGTAGTTTTGACACACACTAATTTTTCAACTAAATTTCTGCATCATTCCTAGATATTGTATTCCATAATTTCATTAAGAACTAGTTAAACTTTAGGGTTAATTAAAGGTAATACCTACTTATTTCAGTTTGAATTAGGATAATTTATTTTCAGGTTTACCATTTCTCATGTACACACAATTTTTTAGATAGTTTGTACATTTGATATTATTTATATGTTAAAAATTGCCATATTGATAGAGTACAGTCACGTCTCAATTCCTGCTAGCTAGCTCATTATAACTGGTTTAAAGTCGCACCTCTTTTGCTGCCAAGTGGCTCATTAGAACCAGTGTAAAGTCTCGCCTCTCTCTCTGCTAGCTGGCTCATACGACCGGTGTTGAAATATCAGTCCTTGAAAACAAGGGGCAGAAGTTGCTGAATAGTTCATGCATCTGATTGTCTTTATCACTAACCCTCCACCTCTGGGTTGTGGGGTCAAGGCCTATGTGAGGCAGTTGCCAGGTACTGGCCGCAGGTCGGTGATTTTTCTATGGGAACTCAGACTTTCCTCTACCATCCAAACCTGACAAATCCGTCGTGATCCTGTTTGTTAATAGGACATAAAGAAATTGGAAGCTCAACCAAACCTTGAACATAATTTTCACTTTTTAAAATGTAACTCTGAAGTGATGCGTCTGTTGTCTATAATACACTGTGGTACTCTTGTCTTTTAAATTAAATTTCTATACGTTTAGATATTTCATGAGGAAAATTTTCAGGGAGTATCAGAGGATAAATATATTGGATGGCTCTATCTAGAAATTAGTCTTAACTTTGATACTTCTATCACTTCCTTGTATGAGATATTTAAATATGTAGACAAACCTTGCCTTATACCACTAATCTATTAGACCTAATCTGATAATTTAGTTTCTGCTGACAAATATTTCTTTTCTACACCTTTCATTTGCTTTCTTTATAGGTATGCTACACTGTCTCACACAAATTATTGAAAGTTCAAAGGATTACACTTAAAGTGATGTTGGTTAATTTTTATTATCATTGAACATCATCAGCTCACCTGTCAGGAGAGCAAGCAAGCTTAAACATGGTGTGGCGTCCGTTGTTCAGTGTCAGCTATTCCCTTAAAACAACATCTTCTCAATAGCCAAAAGGCCTAGTTTCATGATATTAGGCCTACTGTTCTACCAGTAGCATTCCGGGGCATGGGCAACCAATTTCCTTCAAATGAATTACCTTGAGCCACTTTAAAATTCTCTCAGGTCAGATGCCTTAAATTCTTTACCAGGTACTCCACAAATTCTTCTCAAACACATGGGAGCTATATATGCCCATTGAGCCTCTTGTTTTTAAACACTTATTGATTACTATGCACATTATGAACTGTTCTTTATTTGATGTTTCATCTCTAGTTTCTAATCTCTTTAACAGCTTTGTTATTGTTTCACAAGTGAATGTCATAAAAATGTCTGAAGATTTCTCTTCCCACATTATGCTTTAACACCCTATGGAAAATTCAGTTGATACAGGAAAAATCTGAACTTAACACAAACGCTCAGTCCCAAAATATGGTTAAATCAGAATAAAATGGGGTTATCTGCCCTTAAAACTTTACAACAACCACCTTAGATTACTTGCCATGATTCAATAATCTTCTTGGTGAATATAATGAACTCTTTAGATATATTAAATAGAGGGCTGTTAACAGAGTACAGGTATATCATGTTGTGATCACAGCTCCCATTTTATTTTTTTTTTACAGATTTAAAGTTCAGATATTGAATGATAAAATTTGGAATTAAGAATAAAAGCTGGAAACATTTGTTTTATAATCCATGTTCATCAAAATGTTAGTCTTAACAGTGAAAATTTGGTTACCTATCTTTGTCTATTCTCAGGACACCTTCCTCAGCGAGAGCAGTGTTCTGGATGATGATGCTGTCTCAGCTAGTGCACCGCCAGCTCCTTTGTCTGGTCGAAGGCCAAAATCTGTTCCTGCCCACATGCATCGGCAACCTGATACTGTTAGTATACAGATAATATTCAGCAATGTTTAGTGTTCTATCTGCTGACAGTAATATTGGATGAAGTGCCCTATAATACCTTGTTTTGATACTTAGTGCCTACTTTTTATCTTTTATTGTTCACAGCACTTTGGAATATACATCAAAAATAAGATCTCTCATACAAAATGATAATATTGTTGCATTTCATTTCACAGCATCAGATACATGTCTCTTTGTAAAAGGCTTTTCTTGTATTTCAAAGAAGTACATTGCAATCTTTCAGCTAGTGATTAAGCATTGATATTTCAAAATATATATACTCATATATTGATATGGTAGGCCAAGCTGATCATTAGTGACTATATATGCCAAACAACAATTGAAATTGACATGTCAGGTAAAAATATGTTCAGAAGAAATTTTATGTACATTGTTTTGAGTTTTATCATTCATAATCCAGATCAACTCTGGTCTGCGACCCCCTTCAAGAAACATCAAGACAAGTCCTGCCCTGTTCACTCTTGAGCGAGTGATGAAGAGTTTCCGGGCACGGAGTCAGCTGTTGGTGAGCCGTTTAGAGGACACTGATGAAGTCCTACATCCAGATTTTGGCGAGCCACCAGAGGAGAGAACAGCCTCTGCGTATGTAAATTTAGGGACATATTTATGGAGCAGTATTAATTGTAGCAAATAGTCAAAAAAATATAAAAAGCATCAGTTTGAGAGGGAAAGGACTTCTTATATTGGGAAGCTATGTTAACGCATTGGTAGCAAACATGGAGGAGAATGACGGGAGGACATATGTACATTTGATCTCCTGAAAATGTTTTATTTTTATACAAGAAGACATAAATCTTTCTCCATAGTAACAAATTTTTGTTTTACGTTTTAATGCAGTATTTTCTCTAGAAAGAGTTTATAAGATTTAAAAATTAAGATAAGTAGGACTTTATTGTATATATTTAGATCTGGATCACGGATCACCAGAAGAGGGACATTCAAGGTTGGAAAGGAGAGAAAAACAGAGGAGAACAAAGAAAATAATTCCAGTAGTGTGAACATTCCAGAGATCAGACTCAGCAGGCCAGGTAATATTAATGGAGGATCAGAATAGGATATTGTAATCTAAGTGCCCAGCTATGCCTCAGTCCATAAGTCAGTGTGACATCTGTTTCCAAACAATATCTCAAGTTATATAAGTTCAATTTCCACTCAAACTACATACTTCTCCACCAAAGAGATTGCTACACAGTTCCTGAGGTCAAAAGTCAAGATCATTGTTACTTTAAGAAAGTTGTTGAAATTGTTTCCAAAGAATATATTGATTTTCGCTGGACAGACCTCATTGAAACGTCATACAATGCAATTTAATTTCTGAGTGTATGTTTTGTTTTATACATATTATTATATATTTGTGGGCAGATTCAGTACGGTCCAGCTTGTCTTCATCGGCGGGAGACCTAGAAGGACATTTCCTGAAACAGAGTGAGGAACTACGGAAAAGTACTAACACACAACGTCAGATCAAGGAGTCGAACCTGAAGATGATTGAGTCACAGCAGAAGATGAGGGATCTCTCCATAAACATCAAGTATGTCAATACTAACACAGTTTCATAGATTAAATAATGTAGTAGCTTGTAAAATGTAGAATTCATAGGTAGCCTTATGTTACAATTATTTGCAAAGATTGTTATTCGAAATAGATATCTTATAGTCTTCATTTTGATTTTGTTAAGTCAGTGATGCGTCCGTTGTCTGTCAACTTTTCCTGGAAATCGCTACAAATTATGAACACCTGAGCAGATTTTAACCAAATTGGTCTGAGGTGGCTTGGGAAAGGGGAATTAATTTCATATAAATGGGTGGTCCTGGCATCCTTGGACTTGAGGAGTGCAACCAAATGGGGAAAATTTATAAATTTCTTTAAAATCTATGTTGTTCCTCATGAATTTTAGGATATTGTTCGAATAAAAGGAGCCATTAAGAAAAGGTTCTTATGCATTGAAGACAAGTAAAAATTTAGCGTTATTGTAATTTGAAAATGTTATGCAGTATTACATAATTGACAACATTTTCTCTTCAACCTAATGTGTATCTTTTGTTATTTTCCTATGGAACCAGAATCTGACTGTTGACATGTGTACTTGCTTCTAGGATGAAGGAACAGCTGATTAGAGAACTTGTGAAGACTGGAAAGGACTCTGAGAGCATGAATAAACAATATGCTGAAAAAATCCGAGCTTTAGAAAAGGTCTGCACTGTTACATATATTGTTTGTAACCAATAAGGACATAATATTTCCTAATCAGTGATAACCATGATTTTAACACAATGTGTCAGAATAATGATCACATGTAAAAGCTAAGTCTGTTCTATGTGTCAATAATGTCTCCATTCACCGAAACAGGGCTATGTTGAACCATTAGTCAAATATTTCATTTGGCCCGGTTGACTTGGACGTATTGGTGTTTTACTCTAGTTCATTCCATTCAACTGGGTGAAACAGTATTGTGATATCTCGACATTCCAGTGATAAAGCTTTTGTTTCTCACATATGAAAATTCTGTGTGCTTTTTAAACTCTAAACTTCATATTTTTCCCTGATTTATTCCAGGAAAAGGAAAAAGTGAAAAGTGACCTTTCAGAGACCCAAAAGGTTCTGGCAGATATTGAGGCCAAAGGTCAACAAGAGTCCTCAGAAAAACAAAGATTGCAATCGTATGTAGCATTCTCATTCAAATAATTATCAAATCGATTTTAAGAATTATAAGTAAGACTGAGATATATTAATGAAAATATTTTCCTCTGAGTAAGGTTTGGTTGGAAATGTTTGATGGTTAGTTCAGTATGTCAAATTATTCATGCTTCATTTACCAATAGAGTAATTAACTTAGAAGTATGTGAAACCTAGAATGAATCATGACAACATTCCTAATATTTTATTGTAGTGAATACAGGAAAAAAATTGAAAGTGCTAAAGCCAGGATATCAACTCTACATAAACGACAGAAAGACACTGAGAAAATTGCCAACTTTACAATGCAGAATGAGAAAAAGTAAGGAAACTTATGACAGGGTTAAAGAGCTTTAGAATTATACATTCATCAGCAGCAAATATGTTAGGGAAGGGTACAAGAATGAGGTTGTGTTAGAGTATCCAGAAAAACAATTCAAAAGACTTAACTTAAGATACATTTATGTATCTTAAAGTATTAGTTCTAATGAAGAGATAAAGTCTTTGATCAACAAAGTCTTGTCATTATTTATACCCTAAGATGAAACATCAAACTGCAACAGACCAATGTATGTTGATGTCAAAGGTTATTTTTAAACTACAATAATTGTATCAAAAAACCTATGTTTTCTAACTGCCATGTTTCAAACTTTAAAACTGAACATGTGCTAATAATTTGAATGGGATGAGAATCAAAGGACACCAATTTGGAAAATTGAAAACCAATATTAAGTAGATTCTATATAAGTATATGATGCTGTGACTGTGATATTTCTGTTAACAGGATCCAGGACCTGGAGCTTAATGTTGACAGAATGAAACAGCAACAAGAATCTCTAAATAAACGCCTCAAGGAAGAAACAGAAAGGAAAAGCAAACTGGAGGTGAGTTTTATTGTCTTTAATCTAGTATTTAGTGTTATATTTACCAGTCTGATTGGACACATTGGGCAGTGATTCAATTGCAGGCAGGGGCTAAATTACTCAAAATAGTAATTGATTATTGATCAAATACTTGGGTTAATTTTCTGTAATTACTAATTACAACATTGAACTAATTCACAAAATTAATAATCAGATCAAGTCAGTTGCACCCTCTGAGCAGTCTAAGGCAGTATGAACACTCCTGATCAGAGAAATGTATACAAATCATTTTCTTAAACTTTTTCCAGGCAAGAGAAAAATATGTTATTGAAATGTAATTACACTGTAAACTTTCACTGCAAACAATTACAAGTAATTAAAAAAGTCTTTAATTATAATGACATAATTACAGTTACCCTTTGCCTGTTTAATTGAACAGTAAAAATGTGTTGTTGGTATATTTTTCTTTATCAGACATTTTCTCTACAAGTAAGACAGATATGATGATGAAGTTAAACATGATATTCATGTTGTGATGTTGGAGCTTGATTACAACAAACAAATGACAAAAAGTAACATTGAATAAATGCAAAGAATATTATCATTGGGCATTTCGAAATTTTCATGAAATATGAGCATAACATTATTCCATGTTCAAAGGTGATGGGGTTGAACCATGAGGTATGTGAAAATCTGTGTCACCCTGATGCTTCTAGTCACCCACATTTCATCATGTCCTCTAACATGTCTGCAAGTGTTTACAAGATTTGGATTAAGAGTTTCTGAGACACTGCTAACATTTCAATGGGGCAGGCTTCTGATGTGACAAGTTCACTGATCACATGCAGTCAATATGATTAAAAATGCAAGATTTTGTACTGTTGTTTAATTAATTAATGTTTAAACACATCAAATTGTTTTGGGTTTTTTCTGTGTTATCTTCAAATTAACCTTTGGAATAACATAAGCGTTTTTCATCCGACAAGTTTGAAACCTTATGTCCTTTACTTATACATTGTAATGGGAAATCATCACTGATATAAAATCATACCAAAAAGGGACTTTGTAATATCTGCTGAATGTGTACTGTCTTATCTGCTTTTATGATATACAAGGAATACATACTGGCTTCTCCACTTCTTATGTTTCCTGTTTTAGATATAATGCAGCACCAGTGTTTCTGATATCTAGGATACATGAGTGAAGAATATAGTTATACAATTTATTATTTATATATTTTTTCATCAGAGTTTTAGAATATAGAGCATCACAGTTGTATGTCTGTAAATTTTTCATTAATACCATTACACGAAAAATTAACATGATTTTTAATTGCTTTTTAGAGAGAAATGCAGAAAGAAGTCCATAGAGTGAAAGAACTGCAGTTGAAAAATGAACAGCAGCAAAAAATTCTGAAGCGTAAAAATGAAGAGATAGCAGCAGCTCAAAGAAAGCTGAGGAGTGGTTCTCTTCCTCCTATCAATATGTAAGTAACACCTATTGTTTGTCTATCATTCCTTTGGGAACCTTCCACCTTTCTGTACAGAATAGAACCTCACTTCTTCCAACTCACCTACTTGATTATCTCCTGTTTGTCCAACTGATCACTTGGTCCTGACCATGTCTCTCTTCATTCTTCATTACCTCAGATACTCAGTAGGTCTCAAACAGATAATTACCCTTGTTCATTTATTTAGATTTTATGACATTATAACAAAATCCTTTAACAGATCAGATGTGGTATCCAATGTAGACATCTTGAATCAAGCTTGATGTTGTTTTCAGTGAGGATCATGACAAGATTGAAGAACAGAAGCGTTGGCTTGACAATGAGGTAGAGAAGGTGGTAGAACAGAGACGTCAGATGGAGGCTCTCCAGGAGGTAAGGGGTCAATAGGTCAATGGGACCAGAGCATTCAGTACTAGTCTCTGTTGTGACCAACTGTAACCTTGTCATTTGACCATTGCGGCATTACTAAGTCTCATAACATTCTGATTGGCCCGCTTGACTTTAACTTTACTCTTTTTTTTTTGGTAACTTTTTATTTTTAAAGAATTTTCATTATATGTACATCACATATGACAAAAAACAACCACACACATGTTCCCTCACATCCTCCTCCTCCTCCCCCTCCTCCTCCTCCTCCTCCTCCTCCTCCTCCTCCTCCTCCTCCTCCTCCTCCTCCTCCTCCTCCTCCTCCTCCTCCTCCTCCTCCTCCTCCTCCTCCTCATCATCATCCTCATCATCATCATCATCATCATCAACTATGTATACATTGTTATCATTATACTGTTATCATCATCATCAGCTGCAGCATCAATACACAATCATCACCATATACATGTATAACCATCATCATCCTCCTTCATATACATATCATCATCATCATCATCCTCATCATCATCATCATCTTTACTCTTAAGACATTACAAGGGAAATGACAAGCTTTAACAGATAGGAGGTTTTTTCCTGTATTGAATTCCAAAGTTATGGATGATTTACAGAAGTACAATATGTTATTGTTATCAGAAGTCATAGGTCAATCAAAACTTTATATGCTAAAATACTATCAAAACAGTTTTTACTAACAACACTAAAAATTGTCTTTTCATGATAACTGGTATTGATAGGTGTTATCATGGGTACAACGTATATGATTTTTATTAAAATTTTTCTTTCAGTAACACATATCTATATACATATTATGTCTTTGATATAATGATTGTTACAATTGTTAACCTAAATAGGAGCTGAAGAAAAGAGAGGCCATCGTTACCAAGAAGGAGTACATGTTGGCCGAGAAGAGTGAGTTAGAGATGAAAAGATTTCGATCCAGCCAAGTTATTAACAAGGTAATCTCTCGTCAGAACATCTGTTTTAGTGTTTATGGTAAAATGTTTTACTTCCTGAACTGTTCCTTTTATTATATGTTACTTTAGTGACTGCCGAAACTGACTATTTGATCCCTTATCTATTGTTGACATTGGTAGAATATCTTAACGGTATCAACAAAATTGGACTCTGTGGACAAAAAGTTGGAGGAGAAAAGTAAGGAACTGGCGCAGACACCAGAGGAACATCGGGCACACGTTAAGGAGGAGATCCAGAAACTGTCAGACAATCGTGAAAAACTCAACAAACAGCGGCTTGTACTGGAGAAGAAGCTCCAAGACGGGCGGATTCTGTCTGGCCCGGAGGAGAGAAGGTAGGTTACAGAAAAAGTTTTGGTAATGTTTGTTTATCTAGTCCTTGTTTAGTGTAGGCATAGTATGTCTTTACGAGGCACCAACAAAATGAGTGAGAAGTTTTAACCATAGAAAAATTACCCAAACAGTCCCTTGTGTGTTTGTGGATTGTCAATAATGTTTTGGTGTGTAAGTTATTTTGTCTGTTTATTATAGGATGATTGAACTGGACGAAGCTATTGATGCCCTTGATGCGGCCATAGATTATAAAAATGAGAACATTAACAGTCGTCAGCTGGAGATCAGACACTCACAGATGTTGTCCCAGGTACAGTACAAAAATTGGAAAGCAGCAACCCGGTAGTATTTACTGTCATTAAAATTCTGATCTGACCCCTCACTTAAAGAGACAAAATTCAAATGTGATGTTTGTCATTGTTTATCCACAGAGTGAAGACAACATGATAAACCGTCTGAACTCCTTGTCAACAGCAGAGACAAGGACGCTCCTGTCACGCTACTTTGACAAGGTCATTTCACTTAGAGAAATGGAGCGCAAAATGAGTCTCCACAACAGTGAGCAAGAGGTGAGAGTTTGACATTTGAGCAGTAGCTAGATCATGATTTTGTTGTATAAGGGTAAGACAGGAAACAAGTATAAAAACATTGTTGTTCATGAGTAAGCCGGGAACACCTCTATACAATGACAAGTCTATGTTTTGTAGTTCATGAGTAAGCCGGGAACACCTCTATACAATGACAAGTCCATGTTTTTGTTGTTCATGAGTAAGTCAGGAAACACCTCTACACAATGACAAGTCCATGTTTTGTTGTTCATGAGTAAACCATGGATTACATTTAAATAGTTGCAGCTAGTCTATGTTTTGTTGTACTTTGTGTTTTGATACAAATTAAAGGTAAGATAGGTTTTTATTTTCTACTAGATGCTATATTATACATTGATAAAACCATGCCAGATAATAACTAAGTAATTTTGACAGGATCAACTGAATTTAAGGTTATATAACAAAGTTATAATCCGTTGTAAATCCTAAGAAAAACATTTTAAAATTACTAATGCAAGTTCTGAAATAAACTCTAAATGCAAAGGATTAATTTCAATTTTGAGAGAAGACCCTTCTGACTTGGTTATTTTGAATGTGATAATTTTTATGCATTCTTTCACAATATAATTTTGAGGATAAAGGTTGACATAAGGCTGACTGATTTTATCACTAGGTGAAGATAGATGAACAGGAAAGACTGATCCATGAGTTGGAGTCCTCCTTACAGCGGTCACAGGTGGACATTGACCGGCGACTGACCAAGCAACAGAAGGAGTATGAACAGAAGATACAACTGCTAATGCGACAGATCACAGAGATGGGTGGGGCAGGAGGTGGATCTCAGTCAGATAATATGGACTCTAAGTAAGTTATAAAGTGGTGGGTGGGGCAGGAGGGGGATCTCAGTCTGATAATATGGACTCTAAGTAAGTTATAAAGTGGTGGGTGGGGCAGGAGGGGGATCTCAGTCAGATAATATGGACTCTAAGTAAGTTATAAAGAGGTGGGCAGGACAGGAGGGGGATCTCAGTCAGATAATATGGACTCTAAGTAAGTTATAAAGTGGTGGGTGGGGCAGGAGGGGGATCTCAGTCAGATAATATGGACTCTAAGTAAGTTATAAAGTGGTGGGTGGGGCAGTATAAAGTGGTGGGTGTGGCAGGAGGGGGATCTCAGTGGTGGTGGGCAGGGGTGTGGCAGGAGGGGATCTCAGTCTGATAATATGGACTCTAAGTAAGTTATAAAGAGGTGGGTGGGGCAGGAGGGGGATCTCAGTCAGATAATATGGACTCTAAGTAAGTTATAAAGTGGTGGGTGGGGCAGTATAAAGTGGTGGGTGTGGCAGGAGGGGGATCTCAGTCTGATAATATGGACTCTAAGTAAGTTATAAAGTGGTGGGTGGGGCAGGAGGGGGATCTCAGTCTGATAATATGGACTCTAAGTAAGTTATAAAGTGGTGGGCAGGAGGGAGATCTCAATCTGATAATATGGACTCTAAGTAAGTTATAAAGTGGTGGGTGGGGCAGGAGGGGGATCTCAGTCGGATAATATGGACTCTAAGTAAGTTATAAAGTGGTGGGTGTGGCAGGAGGGGGATCTCAGACTGATAATATGGACTCTAAGTAAGTTATAAAGTGGTGGGTGTGGCAGGAGGGGGATCTCAGTCAGATAATATGGACTCTAAGTAAGTTATAAAGTGGTGGGTGGGACTCTAAGTAAGTTATAAAGTGGTGGGTGGGGCAGGAGGGGGATCTCAGTCTGATAATATGGACTCTAAGTAAGTTATAAAGAGGTGGGTGGGGCAGGAGGGGGATCTCAGTCTGATAATATGGACTCTAAGTAAGTTATAAAGAGGTGGGTGGGGCAGGAGGGGTTATAAAGATGGGTGGGGCAGGAGGGGGAGGTGGGTGTGGCATCTCAGTCTGAGATAATATGGACTATAAGTAAGTTATAAAGTGGTGGGTGGGGCAGGAGGGGGATCTCAGTCTGATAATATGGACTCTAAGTAAGTTATAAAGTGGTTGACGGAGGGGGATCTCAGTCTGATAATATGGACTCTAAGTAAGTTATAAAGTGGTGGGCAGGACAGGAGGGGGATCTCAGTCTGATAATATGGACTCTAAGTAAGTTATAAAGTGGTGGGCAGGACAGGAGGGGGATCTCAGTCAGATGATATGGATTCTAAGTAAGTTATAAAGTGGTGGGCAGGAGGGAGATCTCGGTCTGATAATATGGACTCTAAGTAAGTTATAAAGTGGTGGGTGGGGCAGGAGGGGGATCTCAGTCTGATAATATGGACTCTAAGTAAGTTATAAAGTGGTGGGTGTGGCAGGAGGGGGATCTCAGTCTGATAATATGGACTCTAAGTAAGTTATAAAGTGGTGGGTGGGGCAGGAGGGGGATCTCAGTCTGATAATATGGACTCTAAGTAAGTTATAAAGTGGTGGGTGGGGCAGGAGGGGGATCTCAGTCAGATAATATGGACTCTAAGTAAGTTATAAAGTGGTGGGTGGGGCAGGAGGGGGATCTCAGTCAGATAATATGGACTCTAAGTAAGTTATAAAGTGGTGGGTGTGGCAGGAGGGGGATCTCAGTCTGATAATATGGACTCTAAGTAAGTTATAAAGAGGTGGGTGGGCCAGGTGGGGGATCTCAGTCTGATAATATGGACTATAAGTAAGTTATAAAGTGGTGGGTGGGGCAGGAGGGGGATCTCAGTTAGATAATATGGACTTTAAGTAAGTTATAAAGAGGTTGGCAGGACAGGAGGGGGATCTCAGTTAGATAATATGAACTCTAAGTAAGTTATAAAGAGGTGGACAGGGCAGGAGGGGGTCTCAGTCTGATATTATAGACTCTAACTAAGTCATAAAGAGAGGCGTTTAGGAATTCAACTAAATAACACAAGTTATAAAAAAAAGGACTAAAGAGGAAGGGGATAATTAGACTGAGGGAAGTTTTATATTATTGTTACATATAAAAGTGTAGATAAAAAAATGTGACAGATATTCTGATTGAAACTGTTTTGACATCCTGTTTTATATGATACAGGTATCAACAGCTTGAAAAGGAACTTTACTATTACAAGAAAACTAGTCGAGACCTGAAGAGAAAGTTACGAGAGATTCATGCATCAGGTGCTTTAGGTTTGTACCTAATAATGATGTATATCAATCATCAATATTTGCTGGAAAACCCTGTTAAATTTTAGAAGGGCTTTCCTACGCAACAGGCCAAACAAACAGATTTTGCTTTGCCAAATCGCTATATGTTGTAGACACAGATATTACATCATTGTCAAATGTCTATGGTTTCTAATATTAGGTTTATGTAATAACTTGTTTTGTATAAGATGGTCTTGTATTGTAAGAAAATGATGATGATTTAATAGATGTTTAATAGCAAAGCTTATGACAGCTTCCTACAAAGCTCCCCTCCAAGTACAGGCAGATCATACACTATCGTCCTGTTCACAACTTATTGACCCTGATGTATGCCATATTTAGGTTGATTCAAATACTGAAGTAAACTTTACAATAGGTTATGACCAATTTCTATAAGAGGAACACTCTGGATTAAGTCATACATGGGCTTATCCTGGAGTCAATGGCATCAACTTTGGTGTTCTAGACCTAGTTTAGTGTTGAGTAGTCAGATAATCAATATATCCAGTATTATTTTGTACTTGGTATGTCCTGTGATCAGGAATTCCATAACATCATAATTAAATATCTTTAGAATGCTGTCACATTTGCTAACTCCAGCTAAATCTCCTTGTTTTGAAAACTGAAGTGACAGGTGCTTCAAACTTCTGCTGGCCATTGGATCGCTGCATTTGGTTCACAGTTTACATTCGCCCTAGTTATCCAGATGCATCTTTCATTTATATCATTGACAGAAAAACTGCTTTTAAAGATATTAATTACCAAAGCATGAATCAATTTAGACAAATATCATTGTCATGGTTAGTAATATTTTTTTCTGTTTTAAGAGATATATAGTGACTGAGTAGCTCCACATATCTGGGAAATGTTTTCCTTAATACTAGAAATGTGTGGTTAATGGAAGTAAAGGAGGTTACTAGTACATATGTATAATTTTCAACATATACAATGGATGCCTCTATGTTAATATGTGTATTCAGTGTTATAACAACCCATATCTTATCCTTTTATAGGCGTGCTAGTGAAAGTCTTATAACACCAAGTCCTACACTTCATCATATTCAGAGATTTCAAGGTTAAAAAGTCAAAGGTCAAATTTGACAACTTCTGCGATTAAAGCATTCGCCAAAGATATTTTATTTACCATGAACAAATTTAGTTCATATTCACACTTAATTATGATAACATGAACAATTGCACCTAGTCATCGGTGTGGGTCAAAACCTCATTGTACATTGTTACTATATTTAAATGAATAGAGTGGAAGCGTTCATGTCTTACAGCCATTTTCTTGTAATTTCATAAACTAAATAAAGCAAAACACACACCAGTCCTGTATAGTATTTTTTAAGACTGTTCACCACCGATTAGTGTGTGTGCAGAAGATCATCCATACTTATTTGTGATGTGGTGTATATATGATTACAGGAGACGATCACATGAGTTTACACGGCTCTGTCCAGAGTTCAATGGGAGATATAGATTCTCAAGTGAACCACAGTCAGTCACACAACAGAAACATAGACAACATTAGGTAGGTGATCTCTTCAATACCAGGTAGGGTCATACGCCAGATAGCATTAGACAAAGTTGGTGTCTACACAAAGTAGGATCATACAAGGTTGGTGTCTACACCAGGTAAGATTATACAAAGTTGGTGTCTACACCAGGTAAGATTCTACAAGAGTGGTGTCTACACCAGGTAAGATTATACAAGAGTGGTGTCTACACCAGGTAAGATTATACAAGAGTGGTGTCTACACCAGGTAAGATTATACAAAGTTGGTTTCTACACCAGGTAGGATCATACAAGGTTGGTGTCTACACCAGGTAAGATTCTACAAGAGTGGTGTCTACACCAGGTAAGATTATACAAGTATGGTGTCTACACCAGGTAAGATTATACAAAGTTGGTGTCTACACCAGGTAAGATTCTACAAGAGTGGTGTCTACATCAGGTAAGATTATACAAGAGTGGTGTCTACACCAGGTAAGATTATACAAAGTTGGTGTCTACACCAGGTAAGATTATACAAAGTTGGTGTCTACACCAGGTAGGATCATACAAGGTTGGTGTCTACACCAGGTAAGATTCTACAAGGTTGGTGTCTACGCCAGGTAAGATTATACAAGAGTGGTGTCTACACCAGGTAAGATTATACAAAGTTGGTGTCTACACCAGGTAAGATTATACAACGTCGGTGTCTACACCAGGTAAGATTATACAACGTCAGTGTCTAGACAGAATTTAGAAAGTGGGAATTGATAAATGTAGTTAAGTATTGATGGACTTTAGTGCTAACTATAAACTTTGATAATTTTTTACTCATGGTGAAAGTATGATAATTATATTGAAGTCACTGTTTCCTTACTGTTGATCTGGTATTATGTAGCCATTCCCTGCAAGGAGAGAAGTCAAGCTCGCGTCCAAATTCTGCTCGATCTGTTCCGCACATTCCTGCCAATGCTACCCCTGTCAAAATCTCTAGGAAGGATTTGCGTCTGATGTCTGATACAGAAGTCAAACTACGGAGGTCCAATCTTAGCCAGAGTGGCAGTTCTCAGCAACTTAGAGGTAAAGCTATGGCTTGTTAGCGTGACCAGGTTGAGGCTGCATGGAAATATTTCAGGATGAACAAATATGCAGATGTTCGTAATGGTCTGTGTAGAGCTCATACTACAATGTCAGTTTTTTCAACCAAGAATAAAATTATAGAATATGAATTACGTATATTCCATATGCATAGTTATGTATTTAATAGAATAACATTCCTGGAAATATATGTGTACATAGACCTTGAGTTATGCAGTAATTCTGAACTTAGTGATATCCAGCCAGTCTGTTTTGGACATGTAGGACTTGCTCCTTCAAACTACACATATTCCTCAGTCTAGCATCATTACCAATTGATACCTGGTGTTTTTTCCTGCAGATTCAGGTGGTCCAATCATTTTAACCACTTGCGAGAAAACAACGTTACTTGTCAAACGTTATGCACGTTACCTGAAAAAATTCACTGATATAAAGAAATATGCATCACATATAAGAATCATCATTGAATACATAAGTAAATCTTCAGTGATTAATAACGATTATGGAAGAATCAGAAATATCACATATTAGCTCTTTTGGTGACCTGGTAAACCTTGTCTGAGTGGCTACTTTTTGTCAGTTGAAGAAAAACTGTCCCAAAAACTTTCCTTTCCGGTAACTAGAGTTTGTCCATGAGAGCACATATTGTCCTTGAATCTTATTCCTGCCATGAACTAAAACTGTGGTCTTATTATGGAATATTATGAAATGAGCAGAAAATATAAAGAACCAGACAAATTTTAGAAAACGCTCTTTAACTTGTAATTTATAACTGGTTAAAATGTTCTCTTCTGTTGTGAATTTCAGATTCACTCGATTCCAATGCTGATAACAATCCATGGAGTTGAGGGAATTTTCTAGCAAGAAAAAGAAAATTCTATGAAAGATAGAAGCCATTGTGTTCAATAGCCACCGATACTGCCTGTGTGGAATGAATAAGGACAACACTATCATTTACAGTCAAAATTGACTAGTGCGGCTGAAGGTGGGCAAAACTGGGTATGGTACAATCAGTGACTGCAAAAGTGGAAGTTGCACAAAATATTTATGGACAAATGTAGAAGTGACATTGATAATGGATGTGCTGATATCTATATTTGTGGTATTTCAGCTTAATGAATGGATGCTGAAATTATAGACACAATGTTGTGATGGAGTGGAATGATTTTTTTTTAATGAAAATTAGAAGAAAATTGTTAAAATTATCTGTTATATTATGTTGAGTGGAGAGGTAGGATGACATCAAAATAGAAAAATCACCGACGTCTCTCCATGATTCTGTTTTAATGGTACAAGGTAAACATGTAACACCATTGTCACATTATATCACACAACTTTTGTAAGACAACAATAATTGTCACACTGTGGTGAATAGCCATCATACAAAAGATTGGGTGTTGAAGACTTGGTAGAATGCAATGGTGCTTTTTATTTCCTTTCATCACAGCATTCTGCAACTCACCGAAAAAAGCAAAACAGCCCCCGAAAGAAAAACAGTAGATTATAGATAATTGTTTAGATACGTTAATGAGATATTAAAGTTAGAAAAACAAGCTGCATGATAGATCTGAGATCAATTGGTGAGTAAAGGCTTGCATTCTGTCCTCTTTTCTACGTGATCCTAAGAAGGAATGGAGTAGTGTTGTGAAGTTTGAGTACTGCTGATTCTCTCAAATGCTGTTAAAAGTGTCTTAATAATTGATTTTGTAATCCCTTTTGATAATAATATAATATTACATTATGAATATACATATCTGGTTCTAGCCGTTAACAGAATTCATGTCAACCAATCCTTAGATCTACCAAATTGTCTTTCTCATCCTTGAAGACTGACTTATTACTGTACTGTATATATTAGACATAGCATAGTTAAAGACATACTCGGGTTATATTCACTCTTGCTCTCTGCACCCTTGTAAACTTTGAAGGCGAAATTGAAAGTTCCATGTGCATGACCTTGTGGATGAGACAAGAAGACTAGTTTGATCGTTTGATGTACATTAAATGAATCTGTAGGTCGCATAACAGTATATTTTAATGGCTTTTAAGTTGGATGTCCCTCCTTTGTAATCTTCAAATGAGTGTATCAGTCTGTGATTTGTCAGTTTTTTTCTTCTGAAACCTGTTCTAGACCGATCAAATTACTTTAATTGTGCATTCACTTTTGCAATGAAATGTTTCAGGAGTGTAGAGAATGATAACGAGCATAAAGCCTGGAGTATCAAAAATCGCTTAGAGAGAATTTCTCTACATGTTTCAGCTCCATTGCCCTCAGTATAGCTTCTAAACAGAAATTCTCACTAAGGATTTGAACAGTATTTAGTGAAATCACATGAAAATTTTTCTATTAATGATTAAAGAGTGATATTAAAAGATGGCTACCTTTTTTTAGCCAGTGACATAATTGTTGTCAACATTTCACTTTTGGGGCAATTGTAATCTGTAGGGGAATCACTGCTGTAATGTGGGAGAATTGTGATGTATACAGGAATTACTGCTGTGATGTTGGACAATTGTGATGCATTTGGGAATCTTTGTTGTGATGTGGGAGGGTTGTGATGTGTAAGGTAATCATTGTTGTAGTGTGGGAGATGTGATCATTCAGTGGGAGATGTGATCATTCAGTCGGTGATGTGATCATTCAGTCTGAAATGTGATCATTCAGTCGGAAATGTGATCATTCAGTCGGTGATGTGATCATTCAGTCTGAAATGTGATCATTCAGTCGGAGATGTGATCATTCAGTCGGAGATGTGATCATTCAGTCGGAGATGTGATCATTCAGTCGTAGATATGATCATTCAGTCGGTGATGTGATCATTCAGTCGGTGATGTGATCATTCAGTCGGAGATGTGATCATTCAGTCGGAGATCATTCAGTGGTAGATGTGATCATTCAGTCGTAGATATGATCATTCATTCGGTGATGTGATCATTCAGTCAGAGATGTGATCATTCAGTCAGTGATGTGATCATTCAGTCGGAGATGTGATCATTCAGTCGGAGATGAAGTCAAAAAGTGTTCATGTTTGTAGTTAAGTATAGCATGACTATATTCATTATGTTAACAGATGTATAGAGTGGATTTCCTGCATAACTTTTATCTCTTTGTTTATGTGACCTAGGTCAAATATTGATTTGTATTACATGGAGATAATATTGTATGTTTGTATACTATATAGTAATTATACAATGTTTGACATTGTTTGATACTGTCAGACATTGTTATTTGCAGCACAGCACATATCAGTAAGTGTTACATCATCCATTATACACCTTGTATCAGACTTTAATATTTGATACATTGTAAAGACGATGTTGGTTTTGTATTGTGACTGTATGGTAATTATCGGTTAGCCGTCCTTTCTGCTTTGATTTTTGTGTTCCTTTGCTTTGACACAGTATCAATGCTGTCCGTCCACATAAATTATACATATCTTAGCTTTCTAGACATAAAAACATTAAGTGTATCCAAATTTATTTTTAATGAAGGTTAATATAAATGGTAATAGTGGTTTGAAATACTGAGGTACAACTGTTTAATCAAGGTCAACTAGGGAGTAAAGGAATGTTCATATACCAGGTACATATAACATAAAGTTAATTACCATGTTACAGGCTTTAGGCAGCATTGCTGTGATCCCACCATTTTATGGGGGAAGCATGTGTTACCCATAGTTGTCTGTTGGGTCCCATTACATCCCTACCAAAATCACTGTTACTTCTTTCAGAGCTTCTCCACAGGTCTGGTTCATATACACCCCATAGTATAATAGTATCAAGTTCTACTTCACACCTTATCATACTAAGTAGATGATAGGTCAAGGTTTTAGAGTAAAAGGTCACATTTGACAACTTCTGTAAACTCATTCAACAATGATACAATGTACTTATATTCATGGCATGGGGCATAGATGTCTAGCAGACATTTTTCAGTTCAATATGAAAAACTTATGTAGTTCAATGCTTCCTTAGTTTAAAAGCATTTTATTTATTATAACTAAAGTCAGACTTTATCTGTATCATAACAGACTTTAATTTGAGTCCATAATCAGGATTTTATGTAAATGTTGTTGTTACCTATATATAACACAGGTAGGTCACAGTCTGTAGTATATGTAATGTATTGACTGTGTATACTATGGGGAGGTCACAGTCTGAAGTATATGTAATGTATTGACTGTGTATACTATGGGGAGGTCACAGTCTGAAGTATATGTAATGTATTGACTGTGTATACTATGGGGAGGTCACAGTCTGTATTATATGTAGTGTATTGACTGTGTATACTATGGGGAGGTCACAGTCTGTAGTATATGTAATGTATTGACTGTGGTTACTATGGGGAGGTCACAGTCTGTAGTATATGTAATGTATTGACTGTGGTTACTATGGGGAGGTCACAGTGTGGTGTAAATATAGATTATTGCTGAGCATATTTTGTGTGTGTTTTATCATCTATTCTATCACAACTGCTACCAATATTTGAATGTATATTGTGATCTATTCAATCTCAAACTGTTACTATTATTTTAAACATTTGATCTATTCTGTCATAAACTTACAGATATTTTACCTCCAATTGCAGAATCTCTGACCATCCATAAAATTGATTAACTATTAGTAAATGTTCACGTCCAGATCCTACTAATTCACAATGCCTAACAATGTGTTTTATGTTTTTTGTGAGTTTTAGGTGTTATGTATACTGCCAACACCACTAGAATCTGACACACACAATGCCCAGGCAATATAAGCTACAAAGGTTCATGTTAGGGGGCTGTGTTAAATGTTTTTATAGGTTTTGTTAGCTGTTATTTATTTCTGTTGCACCTGAGATATATACTATGTACACATTCCAATACACGAGTTATATATACTTTATATGGTTTTAAAAATGATTCAGACAATACTTTAACCAAATGTGAATTATAATTTATGTATAGTGTCAATAATTATCCTCAACTTAAATATTTGAATTATATATAATAATCCATGTTAAGCGCTGGTATATGACATGTGTAATTCAACTTTCTTGTGCAATTTATTTTGCTAAAATTGTAATTGAAATAAAATCGCAGAAGTAAATTTTCAGGAATTAAGACAGGGATTATAATACATTTATAGCATTGTAGAATCTATTGTGATGGTGAAATCTTTGAAAGTTGGCAACTGTAACAATGCTGATATAGAGAGGTAAATGTTAAATACAGGCGTTTAACCCCAAATTATAAATGAGTTGAAACGACAAGAAAATGGTAGCGACATAGTGCACAGAAACCAAGGGTCTGTTCACACAAGACATGATGTTGTTAAAAGGTTGATTTTCCATTAGGTTTATCTACTTTACCTTTAGAAATTAAAGTTTATCTAAATCTTTTTTACATATGAGAATGTTCAATTAACATCATGTTTTCTACAATACAACATTAGATTATTAGAATTGTTCTTAGAATGACATAAAGAAATAAATTCTGCCTACACCAACATTTGTGCCCAGGATTACTGCCCGTTCTACTGATCTGCCACTAGGATTGGTCTGCAAAGACCAATCAGTTGGGACCAAATCTAACCATGATATTTCTATGAAACTTGTAGTATTTTATAATGGTTTGTGATAAATTTGTCATAATATTTATTTTTCTACATTTGTAATTTCAATGTCGTGGAGTAAGCTGACTGTCTCGGACTCTGTACATCTGTTTCTAAGTACCAAACATCAATTGGTACTCAGAAACACATTCTTATGTGATTTCTAATCTAATCTCAATGTTAAGGAGTTATAAGCTGTACATTTCGACTGTATACCCATGTTACCTGTTTATAGGCTTGCCTTATACAATATCCA